GTATTGTGCTTGGTGATTTCAATGAACACTTCTTCGACCCTCCAAAAAATGGAATCACAGACTTACTCACTTTCAAGAGACTTTGTGAAGCTGTTCATACTATTCATCCACAAAGAAGTGATCCCACCTGGAAATGACAAAACTCTGATCGATGACTAGATATGATTTGGGTATCACCAAGATTGGCAGCTACATTCATCCATTCAGCAATATCTGATCCTCATTGGATTATTACTGATCACTTGTCAGTCCTTTGTGATTTAACAACAACATCAATAACGCAACAAACATCCAAACACATTCTCAAAAAATGGAAAGTCAAACAATTTATTCTAGTAATACAAAATGTGCCAGATAATATATGGCAAGAATTTCATGATCACACAGAAGTATTGTGCAATGAACAACTCACTTTTGATACTAATGACATCAATGCACTATGATCTCATATCAAAAATATTATCTTAGAGGCAGCGAATAAGTTTCTAAAAAAAAAGCAAACAAATCAAAATTGTCAGCAACCAAAACATTTTACAACTATCAACAAACAAATGAAACTTGTCATTCAGGTTATTTCAGCAATTAGCCAATTAACCAGCCCAGTTTCAGATATTATAGCCAAACCAATAATTTTCAATTTAAGCAAAATCAACAAATACAATCCCTCTTTTTCCATCTCCAACATCAACTGGAATTCACAAAAATTAATACTGTTATTGCTATCTAGTCTTAAGCAGCTTAAAGCCCAGCTCAAAACAAAAAAAATATTACTAGCAAAACAACACAAAACTTTTCAGATTAACACTGCCATTCAAAATAACATTAAAAGATTCGGCAACCAACACTCTTTAATGCTCTCTAACATTTTGGAAAAATCACCAAACAAAATAATAATTGATAAAGTAATTACCTCTAATGGTCTCTCAGATCACCCAAAAATTATCAAAGATACAATCAGACAACACTTCACCAATTGGACACGAAAGCATATTACCTCATCTTGGCCAGACTCACAATGGCAGGCAGAATATACTCCACTTTCTCAAGTACCTAATGATGCATTTGCTTCAGTCTCCAATCTGATCACAATGAAAGAATTCACCGATATGATACTAAATACAAATGCCTACAAAGCACCAGGTCCATCAGGAATTCAACATATCTTAATCAAAAAGGCCTC